AAGGAGCCTTGAAAAAATAGACTTGATCGTCTAATGTTTCTCTTGTCTTATCCTGGCCAGTTAAAAGATGCCCAAATCGTATTTTTAATCATATCTCAATTTTTTTAAATGGAACGTGGGTGGCTCATTAGCATATTTGGAAAAAACATTTCTTTACAAATAATTTGGTACCACACACTTGGTATTTCGAGTCAAATTGTCGTTATGAACCACATATTACAATTTCAGTTAACAAAATTGTTCAATTTTCATTTAAACAAAAAATGCTTTTTTGCTTTTTGAGAACCACTGGATCTTTTCTGGATTTTCTTTCATGTAAATTTAATCTACTACCTGTGTTGCCATATTATCAGGAAATTATGTTTTTTAACTTAAAACTAAAAAAATTCCAAAAAATTTTCCAAATTTTCAAAAAAAAATTCGCCAAAAAACCTCATAGGCGCGTTTCTGAGGCCGAAATATACTACGTAGTCTAAGATCCGGCTACAGAATTATTACGCTCATCATATTTTTAATCAAAACCTAATTTTTTCGTATATTTATGAATCCATTTTTAACAGGGTGCCAATCAAAAAGTTTTCCGTAAATAGGATTTGCCACGGTTCAAAGTACATACCACGGTAAGTACTACTTTATACAGGTCCGCCAACAATGCGTCGAGGATCTGTAGCTCCTGTAATAAAAACTTAGGAATTTTGGATAAGTGCAAACCTAAAGTATGTATTTCAGGAAAGTATTTTAACTTCTACACGGTGGCTCGAAAAAGAGTGATTGAATCGGGATATTTTTTTTAATGGAACACAAATATTAAATAAATAAAACAATATAGTTTTCAGCATTTTTTAAAAAAAATATATTAAAAATACTATAATTGTCTTAAAATCAAAACTATACTAGATATTTACTATAGATGATCTGTACCTACTTTGCTATACATATCGCATATCGTAATCTTAAACCATACAGGGTATTCAAAATTCTATGCCAAACTTTTTAAAATATAAAATAGTTTCTTTCGTTTTTTAAACTACATTTTAGTACTTTCGTTTTTAAACATTTTTTTAAAAAGCTGACAAAATATTGTTTTTATTTATTTATTAATATTTTTGAAACTATCAAAACGCATGAAAGAAAAGCAAGTCAAAAATACGATAATACTACAGGGAGTTCCATTTAAAAAAAATTATTACTTACACTCGAGCTTACACTTTTTTTAGCCTCCCTGTAGAAGTTAAAATATCTTCCTGAAATAATCTTAATACATTCTTTAGGTTTGCACTTATGCAAAATTCCTAGTTTTTTTTTATTTTAGGAGCTACAGATGTCCGACGCACTATTGCCGAACCCTGTATAAGCATGTTTAAGGATTTAAGGGTCATTCAGAACCTCGCAATTAGTGGTTTCAATTAGCGTATAAAAGTTCGTTTTTCTAATTTTAATGTAAGCATTCAGAATGTCAAAATTAGTGGTAAGAATTTTCAATTAGTGGAAAAAGTTAACAAACTTTTAATATTTCCACTAATTATACTTCAAAATTTGCAAGGAATCTCATTTTAGCCTTTGATTATCATCCCTCAAGAGAAAATGTGGTTAGGAACCAAAAATTTATTGTTTTATAAGCTTAATATTAGGCTTTGTCTATGGATACAACTGATAACCGCAAGCTGTTGCTAGGAAATTATATTAATTTTAATTGTGCTTTTTAGACATTGTGAATGATTGTGAAACTAAAAAGTATAATTGAAACCACTAATTTATTCCACTAATTGCGAGGTTCTGAATGAAGCTTTAATATCTACTAACTGAATCTGTCCAACAAGTCAGAGAAAATTTCGACAAAGATATCCAAATAAATAACAGAACTACAATTTGCCTGTCATGTATGTATCCACTCATTGGACAAACTTTATTTTAACTCATAGTACCATAAAATTATTTTTTCCTACCGCATCACACGTTATTCTTAATCAACATAATACCATTTATTTTAGACGTTCCGTCGACTCGAACCTTAATTGTATATTCCGTTACTCATTTACAAACGCATTTTTAAAGGGCATTGTGCGATTTGGAAATTCATCATGCTGATTCGGGGAGGCATGACGAGATGGAGAAGAAGTAATATTTTTAAGGCGCGGTACTTTTTCTCTTCTTCTTTTTTCTTGTTTGCCTTTTTTCGGGCCTGACAAAGCATCATTTATTCCTGCATCCAATGAAGGTACCGTTACTGCTTTTCGAATTCCTCAGTGTTAGCTCAATAGCTTCGTTTTTGTCGGTCGTTTTTTTTTGGTCCTCTCAGTCAGGTCATGAAGAAGGCTTTCTTTTATTCGATAACAGCTACATGTACAGCACAAGTTTCCAGTATTAAATCCTAGTATATGTTTTCTAGGGTTTTGAAGTAAATTTGATTAATAGTCTAAAGTAAAATTGCCTATTAATTTAAATTGAAATGATTTAAAATGGTTTGTAATCTTTTGAAAAATTAAGTATTTATTAACCTAATAATGGTCATTGATTTTGATAATTTTATTTATAGTAGATAGATAGATATACCGGGTGGATCTCAAAACTGGCTCACCATTATAACTTTTTTTTTCAGATAAATAAACAAAATTTGGTATGTTAGCATATAACATTAATTAGGATTGTTTGACATATTAGAATTTAGAATTTAGAAAGAGTGGGAGGGGGGTTAATCACTTCGACCTTACAGATCCATTGTGTCCCCCTTTCTTGAATCATAACTCATCATACAGTCCCAGGGCTTTGACAAAAGCCAGTATCTGGGACGGTTTTATAGAGGGTAGTTCTCCATCTCCAATATCAGTCGTACCAAAATTCATGGCACGAATGGTTGTCGTCTCGGCGCACTCAGTGATGAGGTGTACTGGTGTTTCCCCATCTTCCCCACAGAATCTGCATTCGCCGTTTCTTCTTAGTTTCAATCTACTGAGGTGTTCATTGAGGAGACAGTGTCCTGTTAAAAACCCTGTGACAATCCGAAGATTGTTCTTACTCAGACTCAGAAACTCTTCGAGTGTCTTGACCATTGCGATTTCCATTCCAGGTTGCGGATGGAATCTTCCAAGTTCTTGAGTTCCGCCTTGAGTTGGTTACCACTTGGAAAGCAGAACGGTTCTGGTCCAGTTAGTGGAGTGTTCGCTCCTTTCTAGCTAGATTATTTGCTTTTTCATTGCCTTCAACCCCTTGGTGAGCAGGCACCCAGGCACCCAGTGTAGGAGGACTTTGTTTTCTTTGCCTAATTTATTCAGCTTCTCTATGCATTCTTTGACCAATTTCGAATTGATTGATACTGAGTTGATCGCCTTTAATGCTGCTTGGCTATCAGATAAGATGGCTATTTCTTGTTTCCGATAGTTCCTATCTAAGATAAGTTGTACGCATCTCTCGATAGCGTAGATTTCTGCCTGTAGGATACTAGGGTAAGTGCCCATTGCTTCGGAGTAATTAGCTCTCGGCCCAAACACTCCGATCCCTCTTCCCGTATTGGTTTTGGAAGCATCAGTATACCAAGTTATGGTATGGTCTTTTAACTGCTGGGCAAGCGTTTCGCTCTTCCAATCCTTCTTATTGCTCAATACTACATTGACATGTTTGTCAAAGTTGTACGTTCTTGGTATATCGTCCACTGGGAGTTGCAGGAGTGGTATTTCCTTTTTGAGGGTGTTCCAAGCCCCTGATCTGACAATTCTCCCAGTACTAATTCCGTTAGTGACCATTCTAATCATTGTCGCATTGGCATATCTACCAATGACAATGTGCAGTGGTGTTAGATCTAGAATGACCTCCATTGCTGCTGTTGGACAGGTTCTCATGGCTCCTGTGATGCAAACACATGCTAGTCTCTGGACTTTGCATAGGTTTAGCCTTACCGTCCGTTGCTCTAGTTTTGTGTACCAGGCAACTCCTCCATAAGTAATCATGGGTCTTACTATCATGGTATACATCCAGCGCAAAATGTTAGGGGAGCAGCCCCATCTATTTCCGGCCAGTCTTCTGCATATCATGAGAGCCTTTATGGCTTTGCTGGTAGTGTTCTATGCCTGTTCCACAGGAGTTTACTGTCCAGGGTTATTCCCAGGTATTTAACTTCCTGTGTTGGCAGTATTTCCTTTCCATCTAGTTGGATTCTTTTCAAGTTTTTCAGACTACGCCTTCTGGTGAATGGCACTATCGCGGTTTTGTCTGAGTTGATACTCAGCCCTACAGTCCTACACCATCTCTCAGATTGTTTGACGTAGGTATTCAATTATTTTTGGTCACTTCCTGTTTCACACGAAATGACTACAACTTATGATTTTTAAATGGCACCCTCGGTATCTACTTCATTCGATAGAAAATGGCACCCTGAATAGAATGACATATCATATGTCAACTTTTGACATTTTCGCTTAAAGAAAAACCGTATTTTAAATTTCAATCATGCCATAGCTGTGTTAAAAACACTAATTTTTAATCGAGGAGCCTAGGAAAGTTGATTTGAGCGTCAAATGTTTTTCGTCTCTTGTCCTGGCCGGTTAAAAGATTCCCAAATTGTATTTTTAATCATATCTCAATTTTTTCAAATGGAACAAGGGTAGCTCATTATCATATTTAGAAAAAGCATGTTTTACGAATAATTTGGTACCACACACTTGGTGTTTTAGTTTAGTTTATATTTAAAAAACATAATTTCTTGATAATATGGCAACATAGGTACCTAGTAGATTAAATTTACAAGAAAAAAAAACAAAAAAGACCCAGTGACTCTCAAAATTTGAGCAAAAAATATTTCTTTTTAGCAATTTTCAAAGTAAAATAACTCCATTATTTTGGACTTATTTGAAAAACGATAAAGAGAAAATATGTTTCTTTTATCTATATCTACCATCTCTCAAAATACTTGCACTTATTTCTAGGACATCCTGTATAGTCATCATGTAATAGGCATTTAAAAGAGAGTGCTTTTTTAAGGAAGAGGTCAATGAGTCAAGTATAATGTACATATGTTTTATTTACTTCTAGTAAATTAAAATATCATTCAAGTATAACAAAAAAACAAGTAAAATCAGACTTCAACTTGGACTAATAGATTAGCAACTAATACTGATACAAATATATTTATCTGTTAGATGTACCTACTGAAGCTTTGATTCTAAACTAACCAAAACATTTGGACCCAAAAAGAGTGGAGGTATTTTTATACAAAAATTGACTCGCTTAGTTTAACTTAAAATAAACAGAAACTAACAAATCTTCTTAGATATCTAGACATATTATATCCTTTATCAATATACGTTATCTATAGCACCTGAAAATTAGCTAAATCTATTGGTTTATTTTTGATAAGGATGTTCACTTTTCCCGGCGTCTGATTGTTTCAGTTCGGTTATAACTTCTGCCTTGAACAAACTCATACTTTTTACATCAGTATTTACATCTACATCACAATTGGTTATTTCGTCATCCTTCAATAACTTGGTTCTGTACAGATTAGATGAAAATTCTTCTAATCCGTTACTTTCCAAAACCATATCCATGGAACTGTTTTGTACAAGAGCAACTTTTTCCTTCAATCCGTCTCTGTTCGTTACCGGCAAGTCGAAGCTCATACTTTTTCGGTTTTTTACAGTAGGATTGGTTTTATACACAGCAGATGTGATTTTGGGCTTGGTGTTTTCCACTAATCTCTTTGTAATGTGGTCGTTGATGTAGCCGTGGTAAGTGTTATAGCCGAAATTGCCGTGGTCGTAACATTCTTGGGTGGTATAACAATAACTTCGATGTAAGGAACCTAAGCTGGTGTTGGAGGTGGACAATCCCGTTTTTGAATTCGTTGAGAGCCCTGCAATATAACACATAATATTATTTATTTGTCATCTTAAATAAATATATTTAAGAAAATTATATTATTGCTCTATTTGTTCAATTGAATAGTATTATTAGTAATAACGAGTAAGATACGAACATTTAAACGTGAGAAAGGACGTAAAATTATTGTTCTTTTATAACTTGTTTTGAGTAGCTAAGAAGAACAATGTCTGATGTGCCTCTGCTATAATCAATTTTAATGCATGGAATGCAAATAATGTTAAAACTTGGGTGTCTATAATATAGCAATAAAGTACTGATGTTCATCAGCACAAACGCAAAGCTTTAATAAAAAAAATGATGTTTCCTCTTATTTTCTTGGTGTGAAAGATCTTTTTGTTAGTTTCATTATCTTATTCTTAGCTTCAAAAGAAGCTTTCAAGTCATCTACAAAGTACTACAAAAATTTTGATATTGTGATTGTGTGGGTTTTTTATTTGCTTATAATAAATAGTGATATTTTAAAAGTAACTCTGAAAATGCAGAGTAATATTACAGGGTGGTCCTAACGGTATTCCGGAAACATTAGCAGCATAATATATTCTGCAGATAAAAATAAGTAAAAAAGTTCCTATAAATGTATGTTCTAAAATGCTTAGTTTCGGAGAGACAGGGTGTAGAAGTTTTATCTTTATTTTCGATTTTTTCCAAATAATTTCTGAAATAACATATACAGATGAATTTGACCTTTAGTATGAGCTCAGGTCAACACAAAGTCTTTAATTCATTCCCAAATAGAACTAATTCCCTAACGGATATAATATTCCCCAACATACATTAATCTGTACGAAAATTAGGTACTATATATACAATTCTAGAGAATTTTTCATTATATAAAACTAAATATTTTAAAGATATTTTTTGTACCTGGGGTAGACCGATCAGGAGATGTCGTCTCGATGTAATACTCGCTGTCATCATACTCTTCTAAAGTTTCTTCGTCACTATATCTGAAAAAAATAGATTAGCTTAAAATGGTTCACTATTGTTATTGTCAGTTTATAGTCTTACTTCTCCGGAGGGTTGTGAACTAATGCACACTCATCACTCGTTGATCCAGATCGTTCAGGTTCAACAAATGAAGCTCCTCCAGATCCAGGACTTCTTCTGACACCTAATCAAAAGGAATCAATTAAATTAAATTATTGTGTTAGAAAAATAGTTATTCAAATTTTAATAAACATTGGTTTTAATTTTGAGTTGATTTTTTTTAATTTGTTTCTGTGCAATTTTGGTCCATACCTACATATTTTTAACAGCTATAAAAATATTTATTTTTAAAATTTGGATATTTTTATGTAACATTGCATTAATCTTGTAGTAAATAAAAAACCTCTAAATTGACTGTTTAAATAAATGGACATCTGTCTATGTAAACATGTAATATTAAACATTTTAATAAAAAAATTGTGAAATACATTAACATCATATAATAATACATTGGAAAATTATAGCTTTTACTTTTTGAATTATTTTTATCAGTCAGTATAGCTGAACTCTAGTAAATATGCGTTTGCAGAAAATAGTGATAATATATACAGGGGGTATCCCAGAAATAAGTGCAAGTATTTTAACTGGTTGTATAGTTCAACCCCAGAAACACGCCTATGAGGTTTTTTTCGCGAAAAAGAAATTTTGAGAATTCGAAATATTTTCAAAATTTTTTAGTTAAAAAACATAATTTCTTGATAATATGGAAACATAGGTATTAGATTAAATTTACATAAAAGAAAATCCAGAAAAGTTCCAGTGGTTCTCAAAATTTTAGCAAAAAATGTTTTTTTGGAAATTTTCAAAGTAAAATAACACCCTTATTTTGGACTTATTTGAAAATCGATAAAGAGAAAATATTTTTCTTTTGTCGAGATCTACCACCCCTTAAAATACTTGCACTTATTTCTGGGACACCCTGTAGAAGAAAGAAGATAGTACCCATAATCAAGGATAGTACTTATATCTCAATATATATTCTTACTGAAATTCAATATTGAAATTCTTCTGATGACTTTATATTAAGATATAAAAACACGGAGTGTTCTTAAGCCAGGATGACTTACGCCTTATTATTTTTATGACTTACTTAGATGGTCCAAGTATACTTACTTGAACCAAGTCGACTGGATGCTGCCGTATACAGGGTGGCTCATCGAAAACGTTCCGCAAGGCATAACGGCCAGGGTATTTTTTTTTCAAAAAATCCAAAAACACGTCAATTTTGTTTGTGAGGGGGACAACTTTTGCCCCGAAAATGATTGCAAAATCTTCAACCCTCTAAGCGGGGGTGTCATCCCCCAACTTTTTTTAAATTGGAAAAGGGGTCAAGTGGCGCCGCAATGAAAAGAGCTTTCTATTCTCTATATTTCCCCGCTTCGTTTTTGAAAATCGGTCGAGTCATTGAGAAAATATCAAGGATTGAAATTTGAAAAGTTTATTTAAACATTTATCAGAGTAAATGATAAGGATAAATTCCTTCGACCAATTTGAGTTTTTTTCTTATTATTTCTAGATGTTTACGCATTTTTTCACTTGCCACAAGGTTGAACGATCAAGTGCGGTAGTTGCTAGATAGCTGTTCTGTGACTTGTGCGTTGAAGTTATTCTCAAAAAAAATTGTGAAATACATTAACATCATATTATAATACATTGGAAAATTATAGCTACTTTTTGAATTATTTTTATCAGTCAGTAGCAGAACTCTAGTAAATATGCGTTTGCAGAAAATAGTGATAATATATACAGGGTGTCCCTGAAATAAGTGCAAGTAATTTAACTGGTTGTATAGTTCAACCCCAGAAACACGCCTATGAGGTTTTTTTCGCGAAAAAAAATTTTGAAAATTCGAAATTTTTTCAAACTGTGATTTGTGCGTTAAAGTTCTTCTCAATATCGTTAAACTGACCTACAATAGAATTTCTAAAGATACCAGCCCACACGTTCAATTTCTGAGGGTTTTGTGTGTGCACCTCGTGAAAAGCCCTGGGGTTATCCTCAGCCCAGTACCGACAGTTGTGCTGATTACCTACACCGTTCAAAAAGAAAGTACACTCATCCGAAAAACACACATTAAATAGGAAATTATTATCATTTGCCACTCGTTTTACTCATAGTGTAACAAAATTGCACGCGACGATCAAAATCGTCTTCGTTGAGTTCTTGTACCAACTGTGAATTTTGTACGGGTGGAACTTGTGTTTTTTTTAATATCTTTTGGACACTTGTACGATTCACGCCGGTCTCATTGGCTAATTTTCTTGTACTCAGCGTACTATTCATGGCAACTTGGCCCAATACGAATACCTCCATAGCTTCATTTACTACAGAATCTTCTTCCCTGTGCCTCTTTTTATTCATAACGGAACCAGTTTCGCGAAATTTTGCTACTAACTCGCGAACAATTTTGCCATAAAGGTATTTGTCAGGATGGCGTTCATTGAATATCTGCGCAACCCGATTGCCACATTCATTATTTTTAAAATAAAGTTCGATTATTTCCACTTTTTTCGCAAGTGAGTACACCATAATAATTGTTAAAAAGTTTAACGATATTGAGAAGAACTTCAACGCACAAGTCCCAGAACAGCTATCTAGCAACTACCGCACCTGATCGTTCAACTTTGTGGCAAGTGAAAAAATGCGTAAACATCTAGAAATAATAAGAAAAAACAGCAAATTGGTCGAAGGAATTCACCCTTATCATTTACTCTGATAAATGTTTAAATAAACTTTTCAAATTTCAATCCTTCATATTTTCTCAATGACTCGACCGATTTTCAAAAACAAAGCGGAGAAATATAGAGAATAGAAAGCTCTTTTCATTGCGACGCCACTTGACCCCCCTTCCTATTTGAAAAAAGTTGGGGGATGACACCCCCGCTTAAAGGGTTGAAGATTTTGCAATTATTTTTGGAGCAAAAGTTGCCCCCCTCACAAACAAAATTGACGTGTTTTTGGATTTTCTGAAAAAAAAATTACCCTGGCCGTTATGCCTTGCGGAACGTTTTCGATGGGCCACCCTGTATATACTTATAATGATGCTGCGCGAGTCTTACTTGTACGCTGCTCTAATAGTACTGACTGTTTTATCCAAGTCGAGTTGGGAAGGCTTTTTAACATCAAAGTAAGTAGGCTGGCTGCCAACTTACTTGACATTCTCCATATAATTCTACATATAAAAAAAATAACAGCGATCTGCATATCATAGCCATCGCTGACGCCGTTTTTTCATATTGTATATTTATATGGCATCCGGTTGACTTGGTCCAAGCACACTTGGAGCCTGTTGACTGGACTTTACCAATGGTTAAAAATATTTCTTAATAAGAAAGAGAATTAAGAGAATTTAATAGAATTTATGAAACTAAATAATCATATTTTTATAAAACTCCAATCGTTTATATAAAGTGTAAGATTATAGCGTAACATAAAAAGATGGTATAGAAGTTTTAGTGCAGTTAGAAAATATAGAGTGATTTGTTGAAAAGTTTATTACAGATTTTTGGACACCGGGTGATGTTACAAATAATATTTGATTGTGATTTTATAAACCTTGTATATCCGGAAACAGTTAATTTACTTTATGCGCTTCTTGCCTTATACTGGATGCGTCTCAAAAGTGGCTCACTTCTCTATTTTTTCAGATAAAAAAATGAGATTTGGTATATTAGTATATCACATAAATTGGGATTGATTGACGCATTCAATTGTTTTGGCTGTTTCACCGGAAATTATTACAACTTTTGATTTTTAAATGGCCCCCTCGGTCCTCGGTATTGACATTTGATATGTCATTCTATTCAGAGTGTCACTTTCTATCCAATAAAGTATAAAAATACCGAGGGTGCCATTTAAAAATGAAAAGTTGTAGTCATTTCCGGTGAAACAGGAAGTTGAGAACAAAAACAATTGAATTCGTCAATCAATCCTAATTTACGTCGTATACTAACATACCAAAACTCGTTTTTTTTTATCCGAAAGAATACAAAAATTATAGGGGTGAGCCACTTTCGACACGCACCCGGTATACCATGATATTAGAAATTTTGTATTGGTATTATAATAAAAAAATATGCAAATTAAAATGTTGTCTAAGAAATATCTTAAAATAAATTAACACACCTTGCTGAACTTCAACCACAAAAACACCATCTCTTGCACTTGGTGAATATCTCATGGTAGTCTCTCTGCTATCTTCTTCGATATCCTATTGATTATCAATAAAATTAATACCACTATTATATATCTTAAAAAAGATATACAATCAAACCAAACAAAAGAGACTTATCAAATAGGAAAAAATATTTTAAAAATCTCGTCACAAAAAAAAACAACTTTTGGAACACCCCATAGATGAATGCAAAAAATGACATTAAAAACTTCAAATTTTTAAAACTAGTTTTTGATAAAAACAAGACATCCATACTTACATCTCTTTCTTCGGTTTCAACTATTAAATGATTATTCTTCAAAGTCATAGTGATAATGCTTCCGTTAATATTGTTCGGTCGATTGGAAGCAGTTGATATTTCTTCGCATATTTCAACTGCCTCTGAATTTATAGAAAGATGCGTTTCTTCAGAACTCTGAAAGAAAAATCATATAATTTAAAATAGTAATATATAAAGTATATTAAATATCAACAGTTTATATAAATAGTTTCAATGCAGAAAGTGCGTCTAATAAAAATGTATTAAAAAGACCGAAAAGTCTTTCAACAAGTTTTAGTTTTGCTGCAAGACCAAGACCAAGGGGGTCTTGGTCTTGGCATTTCATTTGCTCATCACTATCGTCTATCATTATAAGAGTCAATGTTAATTATAAGGTTACTTATTAACGCTTCTGATACTTTTTGCATTTAAAATGTTAAGACGATTTGGACAATTGTTTGTCCATGTCTATACAGTACATCTGTCCGTTCTGTAGCTACGGGGTATCCGTGAGAGGGGAAACGATATTCCCTCGATTTTTTGCGTAAAAAAATAGACGACGCGTCTCATCAATAAAAATTCGACAAATTTGCAAGTAGCCAATAAAATGAGTGGTCGGAGCGATTTGCGGTGACCATAGATTTAGGAAGAACAGATATCATATTATGCATTTTAACCCGATCAAACATTCGGAGGTTGACTACGTACTGTAAAAACCAACTGAGATAGAGAAGGCGACATTGCCACATATCAAATCTGCGCCTATCTACTTAGTTTGATTTGCAGAAAAGGTGACTTTAAAACCTTCACCGGATATCAATAAATCTCAATTTCTTAATTAAATTAATAGTTTATTTTTAAAGAAGCATGCGTAATAATATGGTTATTAACCAGAGGATATATGCGTTACTATTAAAGGACATGTTTACTGTTTAGTGTGCTGAAACGTCTAGAACTATTGGCAACGTCGCTGCTAGTCTTCCAGAATGAAATGAGCCGTCCGTCCCACCACCCCTCGCGACGGCCCATGGTCCGTTATAGCGTACTACGTTTAGCTTACGGTGTGTTTGAAGTCGGAATCAAGTCCGAAGTGAACTTTTCAGTGTTTTTCAGTAGTAGTTTTTGTTTTTGTTTAATGTACTTTTGAATCTGCGAATTTTCAATATGGTACGACAGTGTCAAATGTGTGGACAAATAAGCTCAAATTACCCGAATTTGTCTTTTCACAGGTAGGCATTGTTTCCGCCGCGCCGTAATCGTACATAGGCGTCCCACAAGGGAGCCTCTCACAATTAAAATAATTTCTAATTATATTTGTTGAATTTTGATCTATTAAAACAAGAACGTAGTAGCCGGTAATTGAATTATAATTCGTCTCAATTACTATCTAACTGTTGTAGATCATAACAAATTTGAATATAAACGTTGCATTTGAAACTTTATTATAAGCCAGAAAGTGACTTTTTTTTCCTTAAAATTGCGTCATATTTTGGTCATTATATACGATATTCTAAAGGAATTTTGCTCAACAAATAAACAAAGGTGTTTACCCGACCTTTTTTACATTTTACTGCTTTATTATATCTGCCCCTTCGGCGTTGTTTAGACAATTTTTTACCACCGTACAAATACCTCTTCCTAGAGTTATTTGTACGGTGTGTTTACCTTTTTTTTAGAATGGGACGAACTGTAAATAATTTTTAGGCTACTAGTTTTATACATACTTATATACAGAGTAACCCAGGCCTCCAAAAAAGCTTTTTACCTATTACGTTTTTGGTTTGTGATTTTTATTTCAATTTTTTACATAAGATGGAGGTCATTGTAACGCACATTTTCAAAATATTTTTGTCAACATACAGGGTGATTCAAACCGCAATACATATGCTTAATACAGTTCATGAAGATTGAGACATTTAACTAAAATTTGATTGTCTGATAAAACTACCTTTAAAAGTAATGGGTTTGTAAATAAACGTAAAATTCATTATTATGCGACAGAAATCCCATACTGTAGCACACAGATTTGATACTTTCAATGATAAATGCCTTCTATTGAGAGACTAAAAGGTAATTGCTTCGTATCAAAGCCATCATAATACAAGAAGAAGATCGAAAGTCAAATCTTGTCTTATATTAAAAAAAAAACACAATTTTCTCATTAAATATTGATTTTAGGTATAGGAAGTTATTAATAATACAAGATTAAACAACTATTACACAGTACTTCACAGGAAGCTATCGATTGCGAACTAATAAATCGTTACTAATTAGGTACTAATTTTGAAAAGTTCTTTTTAAGGTAAAAAAGGTAAAACTAAAACCTAAACGATCATTTGAGATTAAACGGGAAGTTCTAAATAATGTTGCCTATTCTAAACAAGAAAAAATTATTTTATAAGTTAAGTTTTATAACATTCCTAATTAAATTTGGGCGAAAAGAATATTTCTGTTTGCTGTAGGTAATTTTATCAGGGAAAATGGGTAAATAAAATTGACTTTTTAAGTCAATAAAAGTCAAAAGGGTAAGTTATTCCAAAAAAGGACTGTTCGGCAACCCTAAAGGACAAGTGGCAACCCTAGGTATTTCTGGAATGGAAATTTAATGGCAAATCTACAACTTTGGTTTGAAAATATGTTCCGGCCACCTATGTTTACAAAAATGTCTAAAATGTGCCTAAATGCCTCCATATTCTGAAAAAAAATGGAAGAAAAGTCACCAACCACAAACCTAATATAGAACTGTTTCGGAAGCCTGAGTCACCCTGTAAATATTCAAAAGTAACTGAAAGTTTATATAGAAGTAACTGAAAGTTTAAATCGCAAATCGACGTTGGAGCGATTTTCGAAAACTACTAACGGTTCAACATAAGTATATGTGGGATATTAATTGTATTATTATATTAGACCTTATAACAAAACTCATCTGACGAAAAAGTGTTAATGTAATATATTAATATGGAGTAAAAATTTTACTAATTACTTTACTTTTACTTTACTAATTCGTTCCAAAAAACGATACGCCACTGGCCATTAGAACAATACAAATGTGCCTAGTTACCGGAGTCGGAAATTTTAGACTTCTCTGTCTCTTCTATCCTTGTTTGATACATTGGAATGTTTGATACACTACCAACGAGTATTTATGAATGAGATGTTCGGTCTATCTTTATAATGTCTTTGGCGGTGACGCACTCGTCAAATTGACGTATAAAATATATTGCTGTTTATTTAAATGTTTTTTGTCCGCATTCCTTTCATAGACACAGATCCAGCAGACGTACTGTACTTCAAATTTCATTAGGAAGTTTGTTACTAAAGCAGCTAGGTATTTACCATAATTAATGCGTAATTACGAATTAATTATGGTAAATTAATTTAATTATTGGTTAGTGCACAATTAATGAATTTGCAAGAATGCAACAATGTCATTGTTTAAAACTTGCGATAGGAATGATGCATACGAGTTAGCCATAAATCCGTTTTATGCATTTTTTACAACCAAATTTCTCAAACGATACAGATCTAAACGAACATATTTTTTGGTTATGCTATAAACCACCACTTGTAATAAAACTTCTAAGAAAAACAATAAAGTTAAGTTATAAACCAAAAACGCTGAAATATTTTGCGACAGTTTATGGTAGCTATATTTTATTATATTCTTTTCGGACATGCTGTGAATTAATATTTCTTCTTAGTAACGCCCTGTACTAAAATACGTTCTTTTTTCTATAAAATGTTTCAAGTTTATTTACTTTTTTATTTGGGCTACTGCTATATTATTTCTTCTTTTTTCGATATAAAAATCGCATGTATATAGATAAAACGTAATGAACATAACAGTATTATAAAAATATATTTGGGTCATTTTTATTTAAAATATAGATAATAAAGAGAATATCCTACTTTAAGAAAGTGTAGAGAAATTTTTTTTTATGATTTTTTAAGATAAAAAGTTCGTAATCGGTTTTACTAAAAATCGTGTATTCTAGACATACTCATTACTGAGCATTAAAAATAATGATCTCTTCAGGTTTATATACTAATAAATAATAATAGATTGTTCTGTTTACCAGTGGGGATTACTGAAAAAAATCTCTGGGAGACGGAGGACTTAACAGTAATTTTATTTATTAATATTTTAGATAATATTCTTTGGCAAACTTAAACTGGTTATGTATAGTCTACAAACCTATATCCTATTAGATTTGCCACTAGCATCAACTCATCAGGGTCAAGCTGGAACAAACTTCTATTTGACTGGTTATAGAGGATATTACGAACTGATTTTTTACATGATATTGACACTTTAAGTAAAAAATAGTTATTATCTCTGGTTGGATTTAACGTTCTTACTGAATGATTGAATTTTGTTTTAAAAATTGAATCCTACATGAATCAAGTTCCTTGTGAGCGTGGAAGGTCATACTTTGGTAAACCTAGCGATCCCTTGATATAAGAAACTTACTCAACGTACAGAGAGTAGCAAATATGACCTACCAGAAGTATACTTCGACTAAACAACATAGAATTAAATAGTTAGCTATCATATTTTTACATAAGAAAACAAATCACTTTTTCTGACGTTAAAACGAAGCGAACTTGGTACAAGATTAGAAAATCTGTTTCGTTCAGCAGACCGGTTGTATTGTAGATGCAATGCACTCGTTTGTAGTAAACTAAGAAAAGTGGAAGATAAATCTAAGGACATAAGAGTTACATACATACACCAAGAGAAACTATCCGAACAAAATAATACGAACTTCCACGAACCATAGTCTTTATAGACTTTGAGAAGACTTCCGACTTGATTATCCTAAGGTAATGACAGGGTATTGACAGGCCTTTATAGAAACTCTCGCCAATATATGCAAAGAAGCGAAAGCAAGAATAATGATATATAAAACAACCCCAGAGTTCCCAACTGACAAAGGAGTACGATAGGGAGACGCGATATCCTCAAAGTTGTTTACTGCAACCCTAGAAGAAATCTTCCGTCAACTGGACTGGACCAACAAACGATTAAAAATAGATGGAGAATATCTTAACCATCTAAGATTTGCTGATGACATAGTCTAAATTGCCAATAGTCCTGAAGAACTACAAGCACATATTAATGAATTAAATACAGCCAGGAATAAACTAGGTCTCAAAATTAATTTAGTGAAAACTAATGTACAGGGTGGGTCAAATTCGACGCTTTTAAAGGGCAACACCATTTTCTATAGGAGAGAGACAAAAACTAATATCGGTGTCTGGAGCTCAATTTTTGTCAAAAACAAGATGGTGAAAACCGCATATCGATATCTGTTACCGTTTCGGAGTTACGGGGTGTTTTTCAAAAATATGCATTTTTAACAAATCGCTGTAACTTTTTTGCCATGAAAAATTTTGAATTTTTATGAAAACATTTCCAAAGCACCTTTTTACGTAGAATTTAATGGTTTAAGTATAATTTTTTTAAAATTAATAATTTAAGAATTATCAACAGAAAATTTGATTTTTTATATGGTATCACACTGTATATTTTTAATTTATTGAAAAGAATTTTAAATGACCTTTCGAAAAATATAACACACTTGATATTTTGCTCGATTCTTCTTCGAGATATAGAGTATATAAAAATTCGCCCGCTTTAAATAAGTAGGCTTTGAACGGTACCGACTGTAATGCAAAAAAAATCTAGCATCAATTAAAACGAAAATAATATTTGCTATGAGAGATGCAGAATTTTATAACAATTTAAAATATATTTAACCAACATCAACACATTTAAACTATATCTAATAACAATAAAAGTAAATAGCAAACCAAGACATGAGATTGTGTTACAGGTGTTCGACATATGGACCGTCTTCTGTTATGGACAGACGGGGCAGTTTTTGAAAATTTCTCGCGGAATTCATTTACTCAGTGGGGGTGAAAGATACCCTCTCATAACTGCTAAGTATTTTTAGTTCTTGTCTAGATTATACAAATATATCCATAGGATTCGATCCATGATATAGATATCCAATTATTTTTGAAATTGGCTGCAAAAATTTGCTGACAACTTCATCGTTCAGAGGCGGTGTGTCGTTTTGCTGGAAAAATATGTTTTCGAGTTCCATTAATCATCAATAAGGGGTCCAAAGCCTACTAGTTAAAAGTGGCGAAGTTTTAGAAAGTGTGTATTTCGAAGGGGATTATAACAAAATATCAAGTGCGCTATATTTTTGGAAAGGTAATTTTAAATTCTTTTCAGTTAATTAAAAATATAGAGGGTGTCCCAAATAAAAAATCATTTTTTCTGTTGATAACTCTTAAATTATTAATTTTTAAAAAAATATACTTAAACCATTAAATTCTACGTAAAAAGGTGCTTTGGAAATGTTTTCATAGATATACAACATTTTTCATAGCAAAAAAGTTACAGCGACTTGTAAAACACTCCGTAACTCCGAAACGGTAACAGATATTGATGTGCGGTTTTCACCATCATGTTTTTGATGAAAATTGAGCTTCAGACACCGATATTAGTTTTCGTCTATCTCCTATGGAAAAGGGTGTTTCCATTTAAAAGCGTCGAATTTGACCCACCCTGTACAACGAACTAGTGACAGAAAAATAAATCTAACAAAGAACACAACACTGGATATAGTAGAAGAATAAATATATATTTACACAATTAATACACAGCTTGGGATCTCTACTACCTGCAGAACTAAAGAAAACATTAAGTTTGGATGGAGTACTTATGAAAGAAACTCAATCATATTAAAATCTCGACCATTGTGTACTACCAGTCATGATCTATGCATGCGAAATTTGGACACTTAAAACGGACATTATAAGGAAACTGCATGTTGCACAACGCTTAATGGAACGAAATATGCTGGAAATAACCAAGAGACCGTAAAAGAATAGAGTGGATACGTCAAAAGACTCAGGTAATAGATGTCATCTACAGAGTCAAATCCCTCAAATGGCAAAAATTACAGCATGATACGCTCGAGGATTTAAGGGACCTAGAAGAAGACCTAACTTGAGATGGAATCATGATATTAGGTGGCCCGCATTATTCCATCTATATGCATCATGGTCAACTTCATACATTGATCATATCTGGAGATAAAACTCAACCATCGCCTTTGATCTAGCTGAATCCTGTGTCTTTAATTCCTATTATTACGCTCATCTTTTTTAGGTGACCTGCAACTCTCAAGGTCTGTCTTGGTCGGCCAACTGATAAAATAATCAGTTCCTTCTGGTCTTAATTTAACAGTCATTTCCACACTCATTTCTAAATTAATAATTCTATTAGATATATTTTCTAAGCAGTTTACAATAATAGTTGAAACCAACCGAATAATACTTTCTTTTCACACCCAGTAGCAGAAACTTCTTTCGTTCGATTTCACATTCGGTCCTACATCTCTCCTCTCATTCTAACGGCTGCGGTTCATTTGCTCGCTCTTTGGTCCACACATACACATACAGACGCACACATCTGCCCGCCAAATTACGTGTAAAAAAATCGTTGGTTCGTGCAATGCAAAAGTGCAACGATTTGAATTGAGGTCGCCAACGCATCAAGGCCATTTTATTTGGCATCGGGCGGTGCAGGCAGCCGAACGCGCACACATACACACAGTCGCGCACAAAAAGGCGTCAAGTTTCGGCTTTCTCTCCTACGCTGTTTTAGGTTTTCTTATTTGGACCACCGACCGTCATGAGCATCCATTCGGTGGCATTCGGCATTGCTACGGTTATGTAAAAAGAGAAGGTTTTGCTTGTCGATTCGATATCTATTTATTTATTTATGTATTCGCCATAACAAAAGCGGCTGTTGTCATTTCATTATGTATTTCTTTTTACTCTGGATGCTGTATGTTGTATTTGACTTAACTCTTTAAGAATTTAAATATGAATAGTGCGGACGAAGACTGGCGTCCTCCTTTTTACGAGAGGGTTCCGATCCTTCAAAACACAGCGTATATTGAAACAAAAACGTTTTATTGCATAAAATTTATATTAAATATATATACAAAGAATCCAAAGCAACAATATAATTGTATATAAAACAACCTCAGAGTTCACAACTGGCAAAGGAGTACGACAGGGTGACGTGAAATCCCCAAACTTCTTTACAGCAACACTAGAAGAAATCTTCCTTTAACTGGACTGGACCAACAAAAGATTAAAAATAGATGGAGAATAAAGTATCTTAATCATCTAAGATTTGCTGACGATATACTCCTAATTGCAAATAGTCTTGAAGAACTACAAGCACAAATTAACGAACTAAATAAAGTCAGCAATAAAGTAGGTCTCAAAATGAATTTAGCTAACTAATTAAAAGTTTTTAAACTAATAGACAGAAAAGGCATTCTAATAAATAACACAACACTGGAAAGAGTAGGAGAATATATATATTTGAGACAACTAATACACAGCTCGGGATCTCTACTACCAGAAATCAACAGAAGGATTAAGTTAACATGGAGTACTTATGGAAGAAACTCAATCATGTTCAAATCTAGAATGCCACTTTATTTAAAGAAGAAAACGTTTGACCAATGTGTACTACCTACCAGTCATGACTTATGCATGCGATACCTGGACAATTAAAACGGACGTTATAAGGAAACTGCAGATCGCACTGTCGATATACTCAATAGATCGAAATATGCTGGGAATAACCAAGAAAGACCGTAAAAGAATTGATACCACAAAAGACCCAAGTAATAGATGTCATCCGCAAAATTAAATCCCTCAAGTGGAAAGGTAGGTAGGTGGTAGGTCACCGGGCAAGACGGACAACAGTACGCCAGGGCAGTTAGCAAAAATAGGGGATGTTTTTACAATCAAGCTGATTTTTTCACAGATGATAGTACTCATTAGCAGTACTCTGTAAAAAAAAGTTACACCTCCTAGAGCGCCTGCTTCCTCCGCCATGTTGAATTAAAGATGGCGTCTGATCCTATTCTTTAAAAAAATCGCAACTTTTTTATTAATTAACCGATTTTCGTCAAGTAAAGATTAGACATTACCTTTGTTTTGTGCTAAAGAATGAAATAAAAATATAAAACTATTTTCTATTTTGACGGGTTGTTTTTCTGTCAAAAATAAAAAAAGTGAAAATAATAAAAGAAATCGACTTGCTTTTCTTCAATTTTTTTTTGAACCGTACTTGGTAGCAAAAAAGGTTAAAGAAGATGCGCTCTTTTGTTCTGATTTTGAAACAGTCCTTGAGTTTGAGATAGGTTGAGTAGTGCGGGAGATATAGTGTATAGTGTATCCTTAAGGATACAAACAAAAATAAAACTTATGCAGGATGTAAAAATACTTTATTTTTGCTCGATTAACATAAAATATAAATAGTTGCTGTTAAACATATGAATTTAAAAAAAAAAACATTAAAAATAAATTTAAAAAAAAACAGAAAAAATTGTTATTCTAAATAATAGATAATAATAAACACTGAAATTCTTTTTATTCGAACAGAAAAGTATAAATTCAACTTTTAATAGTTTT